TGGGGTAATCAGGATGGGTGTGTCAGAGGCAATGAGATTGGCACAGGATAGAGCACGGTTTAGGGCTGTTGTACATAGGGTCGCTATGAGTTGCAAACGACTCGGCCGCACATAACAACAACAATCATTCCAGGCATGATGTCCTTTTCCAAGGAATAACTTGTCCTAACAACACATCCAGAGTATGTGAGACAAAGATATTTTGATGTGAGCAGTTATTTGCTTTAAATTCTTGTTGTTATGTGTCATCGAGTCAGCCCCGGCTCATAGTGACCCTATATACAAAGCTTTGAACCCTGCTCTATCCTGTCCCAACCTTATTGTCTCTGACATACCTACCCTCGTTTCCCCAGTCACTGGGTCAATCCATCTCACTCAGGGTCTTCCTCTTTTGTGCTGTCCCTCCACCCTTCCAAGCAAGATGTCCCTTTACAAGAACTGGTTCCTCCTGGCAGCATGCCCCATATATGTCAGATGGAGCTTCAAAATCCTTGCTTCCAAGGAGCAGCCTAGTTTCACTCTCTCCAGGATGAACCTGTTGTCCTCTTAGCAATCAATATTCAAAACTCTTCTCCAGCATCACAACTCAAAAGCTTTCGTTTAGGAGTCAGTAAACTAATCTGCTGTGCTTTTTTTATAAATAAATTTCTGTTGGAACACAGGTATGTTCAATAGTTTGTCTATTCAATAGTTTGTCTATGAATGCATTTGCATTATAATGCTAGCTAAGTTACTGCAACTCAGACTATATGGTTCACAAAGGCTAAAATGTTTTCTATCTAGCCTTTTGCAGAAAAATAAAATTACCAATGCCAACATCTTCTTTGGATAGTGAGCTATCTTTCCAAGTAATTGAAATTAAGACAAAAATCATTCAATATTTTATTTATTGCATTTATGATATTCTTGTGTGTGTGTGTGTGTGTGTGTGTGTGTGTGTATACAAGTTTCTGTTATCAATGGCTTTAGCCTGAAGAACTTTTTTCATACTGTGCTGAAAATGAATTCTCTATTTTTGTTTAAGAAATGATATATCTCTAATTCGGTTTTAAAGGTACATTTACATAGCATCCAATTCTGGGAAGAAAGGCCTCGTGATCTGCTCATGAAAAGCATCCAACACAGATGTAATGGATCATGAAAAAGCAGTTCCAATGTGTTTGCTTTGGACAGGTCATCACGAAGGATCAATTGTTAGAGGGGACATCAGTTGAATGCAGTGGAGACCTAAATATCCATGAGGTGGATGGGCAGGATAATCACATGCGTGAATTCAAATGTACTAGCAAGCAGAAAAAGGCAACATTTTGCTTTAAGGTTAATTTAATTAAGGTTGTCCTAAGTAAAAGTCGGCCTGTTGGCAGCTAACAGACATAAATGCACTTCTAGGCTCATCAGTGACTAGTTTCCCTCAGTACATTACATGAGTCACTTCACTGCCTTCCTGGGTCAATAGTTTCTGATGAACATCTGCTGTAGTTCTTGTCTTTATACTCTGCATGAATTATGTCTTTCCTTCCCACTTCAACTGCCTAGAAGATTTTCATTTCATCTACATTTTACATCAATTTGAATTTAATGTGCTTAGGCATTGTCTTTTGGATTTTGATTTTAATCTTGGTTGCTATTTTATAAACCTCTTAGATCTGTAACATCTTGTCTGTCATTGGTTTTGGGAAATTCTTGGCCAGTATTTTTCTTTTTTTTTCCTTCAAATTTTTCTTCTGTTCTATTTTTTCCTCTCTTCAATGTTCTGCCCTGCTTTTCTTGTTTGTTTGGTCTTTTATTCATTCCCCAATCCCATGCCCACACTTTTTACTTAAATTTGGGCAATTTCTACTTACCTGTCTTGAAATTTACTAATTTATTTTTCTCTTTAGTATTGTCAAGCCTACCAATAAGCTCACCTAAGGCATTTTTAGTCTATTCTACTTTATTTTCACTTATAGCAATTACATCTCATTACTTTTAAAAGTTTTCATATTTCCTTACAAATAGAGATACCACTTGACCCAACAGTTCCACTACTGGGAATATACCCCAAAGATACTATAATTGCCACCCAGGCAGATATATGCACACCCACGTTTACCACGGCTTTGTTCACAATAGCAAGGAGTTGGAAACAACCTAGGTGCCCACCAACAAATGAATGGATAGAGAATAGAGAAGTTGTGGATATTCACACAATGGAATACTACTATGCATTGAAAAATAAGGAACTCATGCAATATTATTAAAAATGGGTGACCCTGGAAGACATTATGCTGAGTGAAGTATCTCAGTTACAAAAGGACAAATACTGCATGGTGCCACTGTTGGAAAACAGGACTGACCTAGGGGTTGGGGAGAGACTGAGGAAGATGTGATAAATAATATATACTGCATTGAACAGATGAGGGAGAAAACTGTTTAAAAGGGATATGTGATTAGGTATTTTTATCATGACAGGTGTCCAGAACAAAGGCTGTATAGTGGAGTGGACCTGGGGGGAGGGATTGTAAAACAATGAAAGAATTTTTCTTTTATTTTTCAAAGAGAAGAGTGGGGGAGGCGGGGGGAGGGGGCAGAGAGAAAAGTGCAACAATGAATTAATGGAAATCCAAAGTCTCTGTAAATTTTTATTGAAATTAATAATTTAAAAAATTATTTTAAAAAATTAAAGAAATATGGAAAAAAGTTTTCATTTTTCTTCTAAAATTACCCATCTAAGCATGCATGATGCCTAATTCAGCATATTAATTACAGTTGTTTAACATATTGACCATGCTAATCATAGTTCCTGTCTAACAATGCCTAATGTCTACTTTAACATGAATTCATTATTTGATATTCTTCATCTGGTAATTCTGGTATCTAAATCTGGCCCTTAACAGAGGGTCTCCCTTGATTAACACTTGACAGAAGGCATGCCTTTATGTCCTTAGTAATAGTCTACAATTAACTCTGGTGGCATAGTGTGTAGGGAGTTGTGCTGTTAATCTAAAGGTGCATGGATTGAATCTACTAGTGACATTCCACAGGAGGAAGATAATGACTCTTCCCAGCTATGAGTCAACTCTGACAAACAATACGTTTGAGAGGTCTTGCTTGTTTTTTAAAAATGTGTTAGCTTGGGGAAGAGGAGTGGAAAGGATTCTCTATTGTTCTACCTAAGTCCCACTTTTAGGTAGGTACAATGTCTCTGGT